CTCACTCCCTCCCTCCCTTCCTCCCGCCCTCGTCATCCTCCTAATGAACGAAGAAGCCGGCTCCACCCATCACAGCCATCTAATTGTATGAGGCGCCCATGGACGACATTCTGAGATTGATTATTCACCTCGCTGTTTTTGTTGTTCTCATCGCTGTCTCATCGAGATGAAGCTAGCTTTCCAATTCACTTAAGCACCTTATTATACCTTGTAATTGCCTCGCTAATACAGTGCCCTCCACACGAGCAAAAAAATCATTACGGATTCGAATTCCTACCGTAATCCCTCTATTGCTTAGTACCATCACTAGTCGTGAAATATCAAAAAATTACTTGCATTAGTCGCTCACTAATCATATCAAGCAATAGTCGTATTACGGTAGGAATTTGAATCCGCGCTAGGATCATTCCATTTCTAGGAATGATTGGTGGTAGGTGATAAAGGAAGTGTTGTTCACAGTTTAAGGATTGTGTTGCCCAGAACATGCAACCGTGGGGTCGTGGGGTATGGAAGAATATCAGAATCATCCCCAGTCGTTTTCCTAATGGTAGATATGGGGAAGATTCCACGTTTTGCTGGCCTGACACAAATCTTGTACAATAGGGGTTTCCTGTTACTTCCTTGGTCTTTGGCAATAGAAATCAGGCAGTCATTGCTAGATGACCCGCGATCTCTGTGACGTTATGGAATATCCTGTACAGGCTGCTTAACTGGCAATTCTTTGATCTACACAGAAGCGAAAATTCAGTACGGGCACTCGGCTCCTACAGTGTTCCGGCTCGGCATCACCCCATTTTATACGCAAATTCTCACCCATCACATATACGACGCGTCGAAAGGGGCCATGGGCAAGGGCATGAGGTTTTGTGGAAGTTAGGTGGTTACTGTAAGAGCTGGGTGCACGTACTGGATTTTCGTTTTTATCTGATCTGCGACTAATCAATGCCCCTTCCCGTGCTTTGTCGATAATCAGTCGGTCATTTGGGCAAGCCAGCGAGCTACAATTTCACTGGTAGTTCCTTCCTTCACCTTCAGAACCAGATGAGCGTTTCTGGAGTGTAACTGCTAAAAATAAGCCACTTCGCATTCACTGCTCATGCACGCGATATTCCTCGAATGTCCTTCAAATTCACTTTGAGAGCTTTTCAGCGTAGCTTTCAATTCGTGCAATGGATAATCAAGTTTCAGTCGTGCTATTCTTTGTGCAAAAACTCATTTTCTATGGGATTTTAGCTTCGCTCGAAAGTTAATTTATTCCGGTCACGAATACGACTGCATTTAGGAGCAATGTTTTTTGTTTTTAGGGCCTTTCAGGGTTTCAGGGGGTTCAGGGAAAATTTATTAGTACTATTGACGTCTGTATACGAGAGTTATGTAATGTCTTGATTATGAATATCACGTGCACTTCCTTTCGTACCATTTTCTTCCATCGCATTCATAAAAAGCTGAAATTTCCTGGACCGATGGGGGCCGTAGCAGGAGATGGTTCATATTCGCGATCAGAACCATCAATTAGTTCATAGATAGGCTCAAAGTGTTTTCATACCGGCTCGGTTGCAATAACTGAATGTGGCGTTTTTTTTTTTTGTATATTTTGGCATTAATGCTGGAATCTTCTCCCATCGGCCGAGGGCGACTGCCTAACGAGTAAACACCCGGGGATTTTGCCTCTAATTGGGAGCATTGTATGCGAGAAGTTCTGGCCACATCTTGATGAACACTTTCTGGATCAGTAGTGAATTTAGAGGAGATCCGCATTGTTTGCTTTAATTTGACTTATCTTATGTCTCCGTCAAATATTTTTTGCAGTTACGCTTTAAAGAACTCAGTTAATGGCTGATCGTAAGATATGCAAGCTGTCACCAGATGCTGGCTGCAGCACAAGCGCCGTTCCCATCGGACCAGTTCTGAATATTGATGCAAAAAAAATTGAGAATTTAGCAAGATCTGAAGCAGCTGGAGCAGAAATGAAAAGTGCCAGTTCTTCTTCCTCAACGACGTTAGGACAATTTGATGAGCGTAGGTGGGTTATTAAGAACAATTACGGTGCTATTTTCGACACACTTATGTTTTGTTCCTCGTACTCTGAACACAATCACTTAGTCGTTGTACAAAAAGGGGATTTCATGTCGAGTTCTCAAAATTTTCGAGGGGTTAGGGAGGGAATTAATCAAAGGGTAGTCTGTGGCCCAGAGCAAAAATATATGAAGAGTGCTAGTTTAGTGTTTTTAGAGTCTAGTCTTTTCACCATTTTGCTTGCTTCTCTCCAATTTTTATCATTTTTCAGGATTTATGTCAGCAATATTCCATTCAGCTTCAGAGGTCCCGATCTCGTTCAAATGTTCAGTCCGTAAGTTCAAATTAGCCTCTTTTCAAGCTAATTTCTTACATACTGTTTCTTTTCACTGTAAACTTCAATATTTCCTTGCCCAAATCGAAATTAACGATTTACAGCTTTGGCGTGGTATCGAATGCAGAAATTGTGATGAACGAACGCGGCTCAAAAGGATTTGGCTTCGTGACACTTGACACCAAGGAAGGATGTGAAGCCGCGCGCGCCGCCCTAAATGGAATGGTGGTCCAGGGACGAGTAATCGAGGTATGGGAACGTCTCGTTTCTAAGTACGCTGTGCTGTCAATCAAGGCAAAACTGGGTGCATTCAGACTTGCTGTAGGCCCATGTACGATGTGAACGGGATGCTCTAATTCACGCCGCGTGGTTGACAGTTGTCTCAAATTTGTTGTGTCATTTCGGGATTGGGCGCGCTTCAGACTTTCTAACTTATCCATTTGGCTTTCCTCTCTTGCCTATCAGTTGCCGTTACATTGATTGCTCAGAACGTATTTGGACACAGCCTTATTTTTCATAGAACTATTGCATTATTATCTCTACACCGCACAATCTCGTTAAATCGCATTGCGACCAACCGATCAAGACATAGCTGCATTCAGGCACGCAACTAGCAATTAGAATAGAATATTAGCTGAAGATGAATGGAACAGCGGAGCCATGCTAAATTAGAGTCTCCTCAAGGGTATTCCATCTTTGTATGGCTCTGATCCGTGATATCTATCACTAATCTCGTCGTTCAAACAATCGCACCACGTTAAGTGTACACGGTGTTGACCTCGAACGTAGATCGACACTAAGTCTGATTAGCCTTTTTGCAATGAATACACATGTCTTTGATTTTTCTGTCCTTCAAGGGTCACTTTTATTTCTTCGTTAGTGCGTTTCTTCTTGTTAAAAGTATAGCTGTTCGAGATTCGGCTAAAAGTTGGGAACACATCGTAATACTGGGGTTGGGTAATTGTTTGTTGGATAATTGCTATGGGGAGATTGAAGGCTTCCGTCGGAGCAGCGCATAACGTTGTGGTCGAGCCTTAATTTGTATGAAACGGCCCTTGACCTGCCGCAATAGCTCTACCAATTTCCATTGAATATATCCCCCTTCAGAGCTATGTTTGTGCAATTCGTATCTTGACCTCATTTGGACATTTTTGTGTTGCCTTTGGCGAGGACCTCGAATTATCAGGATCTAAACTTACAGAATGTCGTTCAGGTCAAGAAAGCTACTACAGCTCCTCATCGTCGAAACGCAGCTCGCGTACAACATGCGAGTGTGCTCCCACAAACCGCGATTGCACAGGCTCCAAGATTAGATTTACTGGCAGGACAGCTGCCACAACTACAGGCCAATCCTTTGATTACTCACAATCTTTCTGATCCACTCACAGCGGCTCTTCTTGCACAAAATCAGTTACGACTTCAAGGTACATAACTCTTTCAAAGTTTCAATAGCATTTGTTTAGTACTTCTATGGTAGTACAACAAATTCTTTTCAGCTATGATCAATCCCCTTGCAATGAGAGACCATTCGTTGCTTTATCCCAGAACTCTGCCCATACAACAACCAGGAACTCTTATGAATGGCGGAGTACAACTACCTTTCACGATCTCTCCTATTCCTTTGCAATTACTGTGTACTACTCCTTCACAAGGAATTGAAAATCTGCCACCTAATGTGCTTACAACTACAATGATGCCGTTAGGTGCTCCCGGCCTCACTTACGCAACACTTCCGACAGTCAATCCCAACAACGTTCTGATTCCTCCTACGATGCAAGGCCGATTTCCTCAAGAAGCAACGAATGAAGGGTTTGCTAATTGTAAGTGCTCAATATTTATGACAATACTTGATTTTAAAGTGAAGCTGGAAATGTAATGGGCTTCGAACTCAAATATTTTCAGATCTATGTGACTCTGGACTCTTCAAAACTCCAGCTTCAATCAATCCATATACCGGGTATCTAGATCTAGTTGGCTCGCTTGGCTTAACTAATGACCTATCATCGCAAATACGCGCCGCCGTAAGAAATGCTTTGAACTTTTTNAACCTTTAGAATGCGAAAACTGTGAAAGACAATTTTCGTAAAAGCAGTCTCCGTGCTTTTGACCAATCCTGTGTGATTGATACTTCTTTTCATGGAGAACCGTTAAAGGAGGGTCAGTTCGGGCCTATTGGTAGAGCAGTGCCAGCAGGTGAGTTCCTTCAAGATTTACCATATTGAGTGCTTTCCATGCGAAACCATGCTAATACGGGAATGGCCTCAGTCCAAATGATTGTGAGCTGTGGCCAGAGGAAAAATCACTTTTTGAGACAGATGTCGCCCCTCGAATTTGATCGTTTCGACTAATGTTTAGCCGAACTTAGTAAACCAAGCCTTATTATTGTTTATTTGCCATGAGGCTGTAATCAGGACCGGCTGCGTTACGGCATCTAACTAGACGAAGCTTGTATAGGTGTCACAAGGTTGCTCTCAACATCTGTTTTTGTCCCGGTGTAATAAGTGGCCATAAATCTTCCGTGATTTTGAAATTTTTGTTTCTACGATTTGCTTTTCAAATGTGCGCAGTCCGCCCAGTGATAAAGTCCTGTGGATACACAATACGGTACGTGAGACCTCTAATACTGTAGAGGAATTTGTACTCCTAGACCACTCGTCAGCCACATTTGCTTTTAGGGGAATTCGTTGAGTTTTTCTTAGTTTTCATCCAAACTCAAGTTTTATGATTTCATGGCGCTTTCAAACAAGCAAAGTGCTCACTGTTTCTACTAACAAGTAGTGGGGCTTTGATCATGGTACGGTAATCCTTGACCAAAGGATTCATGCCTTATTATTGCATGCATGCGGCTATAAATGTATTAAGTGTAGCATACATGTGCACTTTTTATGCGGTGGAATTCATTGGTGTTCCCTTTTTGCTTCGAAACCGAGATCACTTGTGAGTTAGATTTGTCCAAAACTGTGCTTCTTTTACTCAACGCTTGTAAGGAAGATTTGTCTGGCACCTGTAACTGCATGGTCCTGCATTCTTTAATAGTTAGAGTATCATTTTTGAAAATGCTTATGGATGATGCTCATTTGCTACCAGTTTCGCGCATGATTTTGCTTTGTCCTTACTACACATCTATAGGCGGCGTCAGCAATCAAGCGAATTCTTCAAGCAACGATTTTCGTTCTCAGTCAATGGCTTTGGAAGAGAATGCTTTGGAATGTAATGCTGGTCAAAGTGGTGCGAACAATCCCAGCTCGTTGCCAGTCTATCATCCGTTTGAATCTTCCACAGACCGTAATGGTCGCAAACGCTTGAGCAGCCTTGATAGCTATCACCAGAGTAAGAAGCAAGCGAAGTCGAATTGATACTGTATTGACAGAGTTGTTTTTTTTTNTTTTTTTTTATGTTTTCAGTTTTTGTGCTCTGTGAAAAAACACAGCGGTCAATTTTCTCACCTGCATTAGTTTTGCATGCAACCTTGAATTAGAACGCATGTCATAGCTTCGTTTCTTAACATCGCTCGTGAATTGAAAGTTGTGGCGCACTCGTTTCGCATTTAATGGTCTATGATCTCGAATATTGCTTCACTATCCATATTCCGTGAAGGTATTTGAGTTTTTTTTTTTCTTATGCTATTCATAAGTTGTCTATTGTTGATATCTTTCGCATGCCTAACTTCTTTGTGAGTTATAAATTTGTAACGATAAATACTTGTTGTAACAGATGAACCAGGTGTGGCTCGGCCATAGCGATTTGGTTCTCACTATGGAATTAATGAGAGTATGAAGATGAACAACCAGTGTAAGTCCTGATCGCATACTCGTCCGTAGATTGAGCACTGTACATGCTATGAATGTTTATGTGGAATGTCAAGAACCATCATAAATTCAGGCTTCTGCTCCTTTGATGGTAATAATCTTCCTTTGTCAGTATTGCCACGAGGAACGTTCCTAGCTTATTTCAATAACGCACCCCCTACTTGTGAACTGCACTTCAATTGAAATTTCCTTCACTTCTCATCAATCTAGAACTTTAGAAGTTCTAGTTGATCACAAGGCATATGAGTGCCATTTGTAACTTGCATGGGACAACGTTCTTCTGTGAGAATTTTGCTAAATTCAAGCATGATACTAATTTAATTAAGGATTTGTTGCGTTTGCACGGGAAGTTCTTGTAGTTCGGATTGCTTATTTGAAAGCCTGAGACTCACATAATTAATTAGGTTAGCAAAGCAAGTACATTGCTGCCACCGTAATGGCATGTGTTTTGATCTGATCACTTCCAATCTTCATCTTCCTTATAGCATAGCAAATGACGAGAGATGTGAAGACGAGCAGCTTGTTTCTCAAGTATGGGGATTCGCAGCCCGTGACAATGCGCGACAAAGAATGGTGATGTTGTTGGAACCCAACCTAAGCAAGCATCAAACAACAAACAAACAGGTGACATAGATAATTTCAGTGTTATTTAATCATTTTGAGCTGATTTTATAAAACTTACAACGAATGAGTGCAGAAAAGCAGAAGACTCGCATGGGATCATACAAATGGGTGCAAATCAGTAAAATAAATGAGCAACGAATACCGTAATAACCGATAAGGAAATGTAGACATGGTTTCGCTTCACTGACGCGATTAGGTGACCACAACCGATCAGAAAGGTTTACGATAAGAGTAATCGCGTGCAACAGTCGCCTTATCACTACTAATCGCAAAAAGAGGCTCAAAAGTTGAAACAATGCCAAGTTTTCATGCTTTACAGCAATTTATTATCTACACACTGTTCATGATATTATTCAACACATATCACAACAATAGATATTTAAAAGAAGATGATTGATGATGATGAATATTAATGCAACTAAAACACACATCAGCACTGTTGTGCATAGCGATAAACAAACCAAAATACATAATAAGCGAGCACCACTCACTGATATCTTTCATGTTGTGTCTCCTTGGTAAATAATGTAGTTTTACAAAACAGGTGCAGCAGCAGTTTTGAGTGGCAGCATTATGAATACTTATTAACATCCAAATATTAAAAAAAAACTCTATTTTCGTGAATAAAAACCCGTCACGTTGATTGATTTGGTGGTTTGTTCTGACAATCGACAATTGCATTGTTAGTTTTCTTACAACATGAACTGCATTCAGCAGCTCCTTTAGTTACGGCATTGTCAGACGTTGTACCATACCCATCATCTAGGATCACATCCTAAAATGAAGAATCGTCGGATGAAGATAGGTCAAGAATTAATTTATTCCAATAGGTTCATTCATGCAAGCATGCAGGAGAATAAATACAGTGAAAACAACATAAAAATGATGAGTGCTGGATATCACAACGTATGGAAATGGCGGACCTCATCAACTGTTTGTTTGACGGCCTTCTCTGCCGGTACATCGCGAGGAACTTCCATTCCAGAAAGAAAACTTTCACTATCGTCTACAGCTAATGCACGGAAATTTTTCGTTTCATCCATGTCATCTAATACTTGGCGGTTAACAAACGACGAGTCAAACTGCAGTGGTCGAAGCATCGATAGGTCAGCTTGTTCCGTTAAGGCTTCGCCTGCAACATCGAGGGTACTTTTGGTTTGGGTACTTCAGAGATGCTGGCAAAATCCATTTTCAATTGACAAACAACTTATAATAATCATTAATTACACTACTGCCCGTTAATGCCCATTATAAGGGGCATGCAAACTCAAATATGTAGCCGGGCATCCCTCACAACTCAGCCTTCAACATTTGTAAGCACCTGTTCATCTTTAGAATTGATGGTTGAACTTCTAAACCATCACCATTCCGTTCACAATAGCAGCACTGCAGTTCCGCGGGCAGCCTTGGCATTGTTTTCAAGGTAAAAGCGACGAAGTAAAGAGTTTGTGAGTCTTGCTATCGGTGAATAATTAGCCGTACAAGGTTTATACTTCGCCTCCGGTATTAGAATTCATCTAGGATGATATTCGTCACCATATACAGAAAGAAATCTTTGGATAACCCAGTATTTTCTGGAAACGAGGAGGGCAGGCTTTACTCCTACGGTCTGTACAGGAGCTGTAAAGGGTGGACTAAGTAGTGAAGGGAAAGGACTCTACACCGCGTCCAAGCAATACACTTCAGCTTTTGTGGCTATATATCAATGCCCAAACCTTCCCTCAAATAACTTTACAGAAACATTTAAAAGCAATACATGGAAAGAAAGCGCAAGCGTACCAGCTCCAGTGATTGATTCCACGGCGCTGGTAGATGGTGTAGCAGTACTGCTTGGTAATGGTGGCAGAGATGGCATAAGTGAACTTCTATTTTGAGCATGAGAAGATAAAGGCATAGCAAAATGATATGCATTTTGTCCTGTTAAATGACCGAATCGGTACTGAGCGAGCTCCTGAAAACACAAAATCGTAGCTGAAACCACAAGCCAGGAAAGAATAGAAATATGTGCAAGTGAGCCTTATGTGGAACAACAAAGAAACATCGAATGTAGGACAAGTAAACACTAACCGCTTCTAATTTTCGAATCTTTTCGACATCCCTATCGTGTTGTTTTGTTAGTTGTTCAATTTGTCGTAAAAACACCTAAAACAAGAAATCGCTAACCCTTGCAATAGTTCATTACAAAGTAAATAGCAGGAATTTAAGGGGGGGTAACTCACATTTTCGGATTCTTCTTTAGCCTTATATATTTTCCTCCACTCAGCTTTGTAATACATATGACGCTCTTCGGCGTGTTTATACTTGCGCATAAATCTCCTACAGTTGTTATCAAGCTGCTGAAAAAAACAGAAATTGCAATAATGGAAAAGCAAAAGGATGATTGGTCAAAATTAGTCAGAAGCACAATGACATATCAATGGAAGCGAAAGGCAAGCAAGGAGAAAGCTTTGCCATAAACCGGAAAAATAGGCATGAACTGCAGACCTCATACTAACCCCAGTGTCTACAGCTCATGTAAACACTGAGGTAGGTATAAGGCGTATATTCGATGCAGGGAAATCAAGCAAAAAGTAAAAACAACAGAAAATCTGAACTTTTCGTAACAAATCTAGACTGTAAAGACGTAGGAACCAACCAGCAACTTGTCGTGCATGTTCCACTCTTGATCATCAGACTCTTCCAAATCCTCACTATAATGAGCACCGGCTTTTGGAGGATAGTTGCTAAGAGGGGATGGATCGCCACTACCATATTCTGATGTATCCCAGTGTGTTCTGAAATCGTTCAGGTGCGAGTAACAAAGACGAAACGACAAGCGGATCTCTTCAGGGCTGTGAAATTNAAAAAAATAATATAAACAGCTTTGCTTCTTTATGCGGTCGTATCAAAAAATGGCTGAAATACCTTTGCCTCCTGAACTTTCTGCCCTGATCTTCAGGCCTATCACGATCCCGTCTTTCTCTATTAGGCCGAACTTCTGTCTCAAATGATCGATCCATAGCTTCACTACGGTAACTCTCTTTGTACCTAAATAAATAAACTTGTCACACAACCCATCACAGACACACCGAATCATTTACTCACCCGCCAGGGCAACTCAAGGGCCCTTTATGAAGTCTTGGAGCCGTCACCGTGTGATAGGGGGCCGTTGCAGGGATATCCTCATGGAACCGAGCACGTTCTGCTTTTGTTGATCCACGACTAGACGACAGCCTCAATGAGCGCCGATATGCCAGCTCTCGGTCCTGAATTTTATACGATCTCATTGAGTAATCAAACATGTAAAACAGAGAATCAAACAGAATGAACTGACCAATTCCGTTGGCTGCTCATTTTCTTTGTTCACAGATTTCTTCCCTCGGAATAACCGGTTAAATAGTGACATCTGTATATCTGAAAGTTTTTTGTTATAAGTAAAATTTAGCATAGTTGCTAAAAGTTGATCAGAATCGCGATCACGAGATTGGAGCACATCAGTTACGGTCCAGTTTAATCTTCGATATTTCCCTTTATTCCGGCAGAATTCAATCCTTCGGCTCAAAAAGAAAGAAAAAACATCCGTAATGATCCGATTAGTAACATTTCGAGCAAAATTAGTCGTCTAACATGAATAAAACCTTTTCGGTTCCGAAATAATGTAACCTTCTTAATACATACTCCTATTACTAGTAAAGCAGCGAGTAATTTGACCCATGGATCCACCCACTCCTGATTCAGGCATGTTTTGCCCCAAAGGTAATTTGAGACGAGGAGACGAGCCATGTTACAGTAAAAATGAATCAAGTTACATCAAAAATACTTCACACTGGGGAAAAGGCAGTGGTGATAAACAACAACAACAACAACAACTTCAAATTTCATTACCACTCGAGCAGAAGAAAAAAATCTTGTCATTCAGCGTTGACGGGACTGGAAAATAATATGAAATTTGTGAGACATAAGGGATAGTCGCGCCATGGAAAAACTTTGGAAATTATCGTGGTCGAAGGGGAAGGCCTTCATTATTCTTCCCACCATTGAGAACCACTGAATGACACAATCGATCGAGTATTTGAATAGGAAAGGAGTCCGGAGATGGGCGGGAGGGTCATCGGTTCAAAGAGATACCGCCTGTACGGGGCCATCCACTCACGTGGAATTAGCTGCGAACAAAAACCGACACACAGACAGGCCTCCCACCTCCTTGGAACTTGATGACGTCGCGGATGCTGTGATGCTATGGATTCTTGTGAATTGACATAGATTCTTGCCTGCAAGCCAGTAAGAGGGGTTTGCCTGATCTACAGCCACCAAGAATGTCGTCAAACAACCCTATCCGGATGATTTATTGGCGTCGGCCTGGGGCTTACCCAGACCTGACTGTGATGTTATTTATGAGAAATGTTCCAGTAAAGATATTTCTTCTATGAACACCTAATGTAAGATGCACCGCTGTACCAGTACAGCAAGTTTAGCGAGGTAACCTTTCCCAACTGGTATTACTATTTTTAATGAAAGGTCCTTTCTGAACTCGGCGACGTTATACTCCAATTAATATCTGAAGCTTTGACTACGCTAGTTCAAAGGAGGCTTGGACCGAGAAAAATGGTTTGGATCTCTGTCGACTGAGTATTCGGGTCATGAATCCAATAAAAACACCTTGATAGGCTGGTATCGCTAAGGTGTTTTCAATCAATGCATATCCAGAAGGTAGGGTAACGATGCGGCGAGCAGTCGTCCACTCTAATTGGCTCCAATGAGATGAGGATATAGGGCTTTCCATAGTGCCGGCAGTTTGGGAGTACTGGGAAGTCCATGTGGGTCTGAGGTTAGAGACTCAACGGGCCGGGGTTAAAGTGGGTGAACTCCTCAAAAAGAAGTTGCTTTGTATCCTGTAGTTATCAAAACAGTGGCGAATAGGGTCCAAGCATTTTGCGCAACTTTGGAAACATACGCGATCTATTCTTACATAGAAATAGGCGACGAATATTAATAGTTACTGATAATCTCTGATCAACCATAAGGACAGCTACTGGTAATCGTTGAGCACCCATTAGGACTTGCTTTCTGGATGGATTTCTTCGTTGAGCACTTATTGAAACGAATTCATATAAAATTTCAATCTGACTGAAAAACTTTGAAAGTGGAGGCTCTACAATTTGAAAAAAAAAACAAAAATGGAGGCTTTCCTGAATTCTATCATGGGACCATACCGTTGCAGAATTACTAGATCTGGGAATAAAAAGTAAAAGCTCTGATGTGAATGTGATTCAAAGGTCCGCATACCAGCTGAATGATTGACTGAGGTCCAGTAGCATTGCCTCGATACCAAGGAATATCTAGGATGTGTAAGAAATAGCCAGAACCCGTTCTACAACTGGTCCCCCATTGTGGAAAGAGACCACACATTGTATGGAAGAGTGGCTTTTTTCCTTTCAAAGGCAATGATTAATACTGAAAAGAAAAGACCGTCACACTGAGACTCATTTCTGAGCCGTCAGAGATCGACATTGATAAGGGAGAACTTGACACTTTTTAATAAACAAACAAACAAAGAAACAACTAACAAATATGTCACTACTGGCTGTATCGATCCAAAAACATCTAGTATGGAAGATAAAATATCATTATCGGTTAAATCAAAAAGGCATTTTGACTTATTACACTTTTAACGAGAGCTTATTAAGGGTAAGTATGGAAGTGAAACATTTCAAGTGGCTAAATGAAAGAATAAACCGACAAATGGGATGAAAACCCCAGAACATACCGCTCTGTTCTCTGACAAAAAAAAACAAAGGGACAATGAATGGAATGAAAAAAGAAGTCAATCGCAACAATCAACTTAAAATCGGCAAATTCCTTAAAAGTCATTGTAGCGACTGGAAACTGGAATCGTATTAAATAGATGTAAAGTAGGGGGAGAAAAAAGATGAAAATGGCCATTCGGAGGGGTAATTCCCCGTTCCGTGACGCCACAACACCCAGGGACTTTGATGTAGCCGACAGCGCGTCTCCCAGGCATTTGAATCTCCCGCGCCAGGCGGCGCAGCTCGGCGGCCCAAAAGGCGGCGGCGACCGTCTGGTCCGTGCGGTGGAGAACTGATGCCGACGGCCTGATTATGGAGATTCTACTGCCTTCGGGATCAACTGACACATCTGAACATCACAGAAGGGCAACGACCTATTTGTTACTGATGTGTGACTATTTTTTTATTACTGCGCTAGTTTTTTTTGCGAATTGGGTGATATCACTTTGCTTTTTGCCGATTATAACCTTTGGCGTCATAACACAAGAGATGGGTTTTCATTTTCCTGTACCTGGCTTGAGTGGTCTTTTGGGACATGGCTTAGTCAGTACGACTACCCTAACACTGACCTGAGTTGTGTTGGAACCCTGAGTAGAGATAAACTTGAACGGCCGCGTATTCGAAATAGAGCGTCGTTCTTGTCAATTTGGGGATGGGGTCGTATCTACAAAGCGTTTAGAAGGCTAGAAGGATTGTTCTTCTCAATGACAAGGTGATTTCTGCGATTTTCAGAGTTCCCTTCAACTTCCCCACAACCTCCCTCCCCATTGCGTTTATCCTTCGACACATTTTTTGGAATTATTTATAAAGACCACCGTTTGGGGAGGGAATTCGCTGGGAAGCGGTTGAGTTGATAGTACCGGTTTTCCGACGCAATTCTTTACCCTATACTCTGAACTGCTCATCCTTTTTCCATATCCACCTGGGTATATGTTCCTAACCACTTCATGGTGGCCCGGGTAACGAAAGGGGCTGACAGGCGGCCCCTTTCGCTCCCCTGACCACCATGAAGTGGTTGGGAACATATACCCAGTAAAGAGCTGCAATTACTCCTTCGCAGGAATACGAGGTCAAGCCCGACAGGACTCACAGCGGGCTTTATAGTGGATACCCACCTTGCCCCTTATCTTCCCACAACTGTATTAGGCACTTTACCCCCCATAGATGTTGGAGTGAGGGGCGTTGTACATACTTTGAGTGCCATTGGAATGAAGATAACAGAGACACTACACTACACTACGCAACACTCGACACTTCCGCTAGAAAGTACTGAAGGAAGCAAAGATACGAAACCGAGACACAGGAGCCAAGATGTTCCGCAGAGGGGTTCTTTCTGGAATCCCATGAGCTCATTATCATGAGTAAAGGCAATGAAAAGGAAGTGGGAACCCTTTTAAAGTCCAAAAGGCCGAAAAATTAGGCCTCTCATTGGCATTTGCTTGCTCATGGCTCCGCTACGGATCTTCAGATCATTGATGATGACTCACAATGCCATTCTGAACGATGACACCAAATGACTACCGTAATGCTTGCCGATAGAGCCATGAGGACTCTTATCTGCCTAATTGGAATAATCGATGACGGCCATTCCAGTGGCCCATCTTTCCGGAAAATTAGCCTCCATTGTTGTTTTGGCGAATTGGGTGTCACTCCGTTTTTATCTGAACCGTACTGTACGTACAAAAATCTAGACGTCATCTAAGAAAGACATATCAAGAACCAGCTATACGACAAAGAAAGCTCATAACTGCTTTCCTTTCCGTTGACCAAAATGTTAGAGAACGTGATAAGTTGAAGTTGTTGAAGCATGTTGGTCCACAGCAAGGGCCAAACCGTTACTTCATTGAGGTTGTCAATGAGGTTGAGGCCTCTCCGATCGACCTCAAAGAGAATACAGAGTTTCCTACGTGGGAAAGTCAATACAGAACGAGGGCTGGTATGGCTTCGAACTCATACCATAACTCGATAGTTCGAAACAAAATAGATTTCACGGTAAGAAATGGCATCTGTACTGAATTCTCCTCCCTATTATGTCGTCCACTAAATTGAAATGCATCAGATACCGTGGCGATTCAGAGTACCTGAGTGCACGGCGCGCTCTGAGTACTCAACACGTTGTACTTTTAGTCGTAGACCAATGTGAAAGAAACAGAGCAAGAGGTGCTGATATTGTCTGAGAAGGTAAAAAAACAACAATAGGTGCATCAAGATAGGTAGAAACCGCTGAGATACCTTGGAGTAGCTTCCGAAATTCCCCAACGCCCCAGGTAGAACTCAAAGAAAATATTCCATGGACAAAGGCAAGTGGAGAAAAAAGAAAAAGCGGAAAATTCACTGAGAACAAGAATGACTAGGACATTTTTGACGACTCAGTGATCACGGTAGCCGTAAAATGACATAATGGCCCGCCTCTGACGTTTCGACGCCAATAAAGTCAATGACTAATTTTTTTCCGATTGCAGCCGAAGTCAGGGTTAATGTGGCCTATTTTGCGGGCATGTATGGCGCCATGATCGGGGCAAGGTCGTGGGATCAAGCTCTGTCTGATACATTCTTCCAGGATCGCCTATCCAGTATTGTGCTCGGCTACCAATGCTTG